GTAACTGCTCTGTTACTATTATTTGACTATTAAGTAACTATTAAGTGGCAATTAAGTAGTGATGTTTATAAAAATTGAACAGTTTCAGCAATGAAGACTTATATCTTAAAGAATTATTATTTGATGCCTTCTCGTGATAATTAACAATAGAAAAAACTTGTTACTGGATTGCAATAAGACTTCTTTTGATCTGGAAAAGAAAAGAAACCAGTTCAAAAGAAAAGAACCCAGTTCAAGAAAAAAGAAACCAGTTCAAGAGAAAAGGGAAAACATTATAACATATTCTAACAAAACAGATATTTCATTATCTTGCTCTTTTTTTTATATTTAATGGTATTATCAAATTTATTATTGTATGAGATAAGGCATATAGGAGTTATGTCTTGTTTATATTTCTTGTTACATGTAGATTAACTAGTCCAAATTTTTAGCCAATTCTTGTTTAGGAGTTCTGGTATAATCAAAAATTCAGAATCAAACTAAAATAGATAAAATTTCTCAGAAAAATAAAAAAAAGTATATATGCTTAAGAAGAAGGAGAGAGACTTGAAAAAGATAAAAAAAGAATTTCAAAAGTTGGTGATAATCTCTCTAGAGTCTTGAATCTCTGGAAAAAAGGAAGAGATTGTTTTTTCTACAGGTTCTTTTTTCTAATAAAGTGTTCTTGCCTTTAACTTTGTAGGTAGATTTTTCTTATATTTACTTATAAAAATACAAAAAGTTTATGTCAAAAAAGAAAAAAACCAAGTAGGAAAAGATTGAAATTTTTGGATATTAATGTCATTAGAGAGTATATATAGACTTTGTTATAAAGTAATATAAAAATTTTCTGGAACATCTGTTTTTTGGATTGGCAAAAAAATCAGTAGAAAGAGTTTTTTTTTTAGCATATTGTACTCCATATTATTTTCTTTTATATTTCTTTTATATTAATTAAGTACATATGTTTTCAGAGATTAGGCCTTATATAAATATATATATTTTTATATTTATTTATTTACAGATTTTTATATTATATAAAACCACTATATATAAAAGTTTGTTTTTTTTTATCTTAATAAAACCCCAACTTTATTGATGTTACAATAATAATTGCTCAAGTTTATTGTTTTTTAAAATTACTAATAATTTTATTCAAACTTTATATTAACTTATTTATTTAATCTGAATATAATTATTTCAAATATATTTATAGTTTAATATCTTATCTTTTAATTTTAATTCTATTTCTTCTAATATTAAATAAATATTTATAGCTGTTCAGTATTATTTGACAATATATATTGTTTTAAATTTTCTTTTTAATATTAGTCACATAGTTATTATAAGCAAGCTAGCATTTAACTTATTGTATCAACATATAAAAGATGTTGTTTTTTTAATAATATACAATATATCTTGCTATATATAAATCAAATAAAGAAATAATATTTACTTATAAAAAAAAAAACTTTTTTATACTTTTTTGGGCTTAAAAAATTTTTTTAAAAAAAATTTTTAAGTTGTTTATTATTTTACTCTTATTTTCTTCCTTACTCTTATTTTTCTTTTCTTATATTCTCTTTTTTTCTTTTTTTCTTTTTATTTTATTTAATTCTATAAATATTTTTATATACTTTTCTTATTAATCTTTATTTTTTTCTGAATTTTTTGTCAAAGTTAAGTTTTTCTTTCTTTTAAAGTTTTTTTTTTTCTAGATCTCTCACTTTTTTCAGAATATCTTTTTTTATTTATTATTTTTTTGATTAATTGATATTTTTTTTTCAAAAATCATATTAAGAAATAGTAGCTTCTCATAAAATATGGATTTTGAAAATTTTTCTTTTTTCATAATTTTTTTAAAAAAAAAAATAGATAGCTTACCTTTTTCAAAAGATTAATATAATTATTATTATCAAATTTGATATTGTTTATTTATTGATAATAAGACTAAATATATTTAAAAAGCCTTTGTACAATTATTATTATTTGAATCTTTTTAAAGTTGTACTTTATATCCAGTAATGTGACAGTCAATATTAATATAAAAAAATTTGTATATATTATGCTAATGGATAAAGTATCTAATAAAATAATACATAACAATTAAGAATTCTAGTTACTTTTACAAAAAAAGTTGATATTGACAATACAAATTTTTCAAACATCTCTTAACAATATAGATTAATTGTATAAGATCAGGTTTTAGTATCTATAAGAATATAATTCTGAAAAAGGAAATTGAATAGAATTGCAGGGAATTGCATAAGATTTGGAATACTATTAAAAATAATAGTGGGATATACACTATCTATTAAATTTAATATAAACTAGAGAATTGAATACAGAATTGAAGAGAATCGTTAGAATCCTTATATAAGAATAAATAAGATTTAAAGCTCTTTTTCATATACAACTTTTTTTTCTTTTATAATAATTTTTCTTCAAAATTAAAGAAACAAATCCTTTTAATATTCAAAAGTTCTTCATATTTTCTTTTTTTTCACTACAAGGGTTTCAATAAAATTAAAGAAGTATACTGGTGCATTGGAATGAAACCTCTAATCAGAAAAAAGCAAGCTTGGGAGTCTTGCTTTTTCTTTGGATTGCATAAGAAAAGGCCTGTGACAGTTATTTCTTTACAAATCTTTCTTGGGGTTCTTCCTATTTTTTCTTCTTTCTAATATACAAACCTTTTTAAATAATTATATTTTCTGCTTGGAGGATTGCTTGTTAACCCAAAAAATCAAACTTTATATCAAAATTGTCTATATTGTTAACTTGAAGGACCAACAATATATTCAATATATATTTCTCACTATCACTTAACATATTCTACTGTATCACCAAAAACCAAAAATTTTGACTCAAAAAAATTCTTATCAAAAAACTGTAATTAGTTTACTTCTATTAACTGATCAACATTTCAAATTCAATTAATCAAATATTACCAAATTTCAAAACCATTCTGTATAACCAAAATACCACATATTGATTGATATAAACAAATTCTATTTTGGCAGTATTAATCAAAACAAGATTACACTATCAAAAATAAATTAATCAACAGACTAACAAAAATATCAACAATTATAATAACAACACATGATCTAAGTAATATATCAACAATACTATTATTTACTTTGAACAGTAGCCTGGCTATTCCTGGAAGTAGCACTTTACTTTAGTCAAATAGATTAACCAGTATGGTATATCTAATCCAAGGCATTCTTTATATAATAATTAGTCTTTTTTTTACTGTTCTTCCAATTATCATCAACATTTAAATACAAATAACCATATCATTACTATTATTAACAATGACTCAAGAAACAACTATCAAGAGAATATGTTATTAATACTATTATATATATTATGAGCTATAGCTTGGCCATTCCAGAAAGTGCAATGATACTTCAGAAAGTTGGAATCACCAGAGCAACATTAGGCTTCATTTGTACTATAATTAGTTTTTTTATTATTTTTCTTTTGTTTGATATTTTCTTTTTTTACTTTTATATTTTCCTAAATTTTATTTCATATAATCCTGAGTAGATATTCATAGCTGCTCAGTACTATCTTAGATATACATTGGTTTTAATATTTCTTTTCTGTGTCATTTAGATAGTTTCTGTAGGCAAGCTAGCATTAGACTTATTAGCTTAACAAATTATATAAGAGATGTTGTCGCTTTTTCTATGTATAAATTTTAAACAATTTTATGACTAATAAAGTGATGATGTTTACTTACTTTAAAAAAAAAAAAAGAATAAATAAGATTTTCATATTTAATTCTTTTCATATAAGAAATCAATTATTTAATAGTCAGCTCTGCTCTGTTTCAAATTTCATAGTATGGTATCATTTAATTGCTTAAATAGTTTATTCTCCAGTTCTTATTTGTGATAAAATCAATTGTTACCTTTTTAATCTTAAGTTCTAGTAAATGGATAGAAAGTAAATACTATGTGTGTTGGATGAAAGATTAATTTTACTTTGATAAAGGTACTACATGTGGCACTATTTAAGTACTTAAATGAGTCATCTATTTTGAGTTTGAAACAGTTTGAGACTGACATTTCATCGAAATTCCTATTATATTATATGGCATGATCTTTCTGCCACTATCTAAACAACATATTAGTTTTAAAATTTCTTTTCTAATATAGTTTAGATTATTATTTTGATAAGCTAGCATTTAACTTACATAAACTGAGAGATGTAAATTCTTGTACAAAATATATCTTAAATAGTATATATTAAATAAAGAATTGATGCTTATCCAAAAAAAAAAAAAGAAAAGAAACATATGAATTTATCATGTGAAAAATATTTGTAAGTGTAAATAATGTTTTTTTTTTATTAGTTTCAAATGAATTAGATCATTAAATATAATATTACTTCAATCTAATATTTAATAATTCATATTGAATTATACTTTGCATTTTACTTTATGCACATCGAATAAATAATTGAGAGAATTCCTTGAATTTAATTTAATAAATTTATATTTCTTTAATTAACATCAAAGATTTAATGCTTAGGCGAATGACTTCATTCCCGAATTTTTTATTTAAAAAAATTTAAGGAACTTATTACTCATACTCAGCTTCTTCGTTATCCTCACTGTACAATAATTTTATTGCCTTCAAATACTTTGGAGATTTATATAAATCGCCAATTGTTGTCTGCATAAAATCGAAACCAATTCCAACTTTACCATGATCATCAGTAAAGACAGGTACTTTGGGGTACCTTTGGCTAAAATGAGTCAGCAATATAGAACGCGCGTTCATGCTGATATGTTAAAGAAAGTTATCTTCATATTTCTTGATTAAAACACAAAGCAATAAATATTTGCATTAAAAATATTTTACCGTTCGCCAATTTTTACTGCCTCTTCCGTTGTGCTATGCTTCTTATTCAATGCTTCTTCAATCAATTCGTTATCGAACGTTGCCTCGTGAATTAATAATGTAGCATTTTTTCCGACACGAACAAGATCGTCACACGGACGCGTGTCCCCAGAATAGCTTGCGAAAGAGAGATTGAGATGAGGCTAACTCTAGGTTTGAAATGCATACCAAACGCCTATTCGGTAAATAATTCTTACACAATTTTCCAGCCATCCAAATGTTCTACGCTAATCCCATATGAAGAAGGACAATGAATAGCTTCGACGCTTTCTACGCTTTTCAAACCAATACAATTCTTCAGGTCCTGCAAACTAAAACGTCCCATAATTAGGTGGCGAATGGATGCATTCACTTTCTAAAAATATGCATTACATTACGCACATCATTGGTGATCCATTCTGCTGTCGTTGAAATAGTATATCACGACCGTCTATGAATTTCAGCTTAGACAGCCCAAAGTCTTGAACATCATCAAATTCATTAAGCCATTTCCATAATCTTGAAGGACCAATTATATGAATCGAGACATTATCATCGTCACAATGAAGCTATTGTCTTGGCAGAATTTTGGGAATGTAAAATAAACACCAGGATTTAAAAACTGTTTCGCTTCGTAAATTAAAGATGATTCATACCTCATTCCACTTTGATAACACACGAATTAGGCCAAGGTGATGATCGGCGTGCATGTGAGAAATGAAAATAAACTTTAAATGCCTGAGAAAGTTTTCTATTCCCATCTGGTCCCCATGAATTTCACCATACGGGCCCAGGTGTCTTACAAGAGACGCGAAAGTGCCCTCTCCGACATCAAGCAATATACATCCTTGGTCGGGTATTGAAATAAGCGTCGAGCTCACTGCCAATGTTTCAAAGAGAAAAATTAACTTATGAAATGAATAAGTTGATGGTCATAAAAGGGATGAGCACCATTCCTATACTTGGAGGGAAGCGTCGACCCTGTCCCAAGAGTTGTAATGGCAATATTTTCTCCTGGGATCTTTTTTAACTTGGGTGATAAACCTGCGATCTCATGTTGCACTTGTGCAGCAACATTCAAATATTCATTCATACTATGCAGAGACTTCACAATCTCAGAATCCTGGTCGTTATGGTCAAAAACAGGAATTAAATTAGATTCATCCACCTTAAATGAAGGCTCTGTGTGGTAGATTAACAATGGTTCTGCAATTTTCGAGTTATTTGGAATATTTGACACTACAAGAATCATTTGGTTAAAAAAAGGGGAACCCTATCACAAATAAATATTTGGTTTAACTGATGCTAACCCAGCTCCAATTTTTTGAGAGGTTTGTTTGAATAATAAGGTATACGAAATTGTTTATCGTCGATCTTGGATAATTTAAACTGGCTATCCGCTGTATTGTGAAAAATGATCCGCTGTGGACAATATTGCTCGTTCATGATCACATGCTAAATAATGTATGTTACATGAAAAGCCGTTAGCAAGATGTAAATATTAAAATAGCATATTAGGACATCAGGTACCTCGGTTTCTGGAGAAAAAGATTTCATCCATTCTTGATATCGAAGATCCTCTAAAACTCCATTTCCTAACATGTGAATTATTACACAAGGTTGCAACTCTTTATTTCCAGACCGATATACAGCGAGCTCAGGAGAAGCGAATATTGAAGGTATATAAGATGTTGATGGTACATCTATGATAATGAATATCTGCATCAATTAAAAGAATAAATTAAAACCTTTTGAAATTATCAGATCGCAAGAATTTCATATAAAGATGCTAATTACCAGACCAGTCCTGGACGGTCCAATGACCTGATGGGGATGAATAACTGTTCCATCTGGCGCGGTTACCGATATTCCTTTAACCAAGTCGGCTATCGTGATAAATAATTTTAATAAAAGAGATCGAGTAAACAGGATCGGAATGACTCTAAAAGGTTTAATCTATACCATATTGACGTCCAGGTTTTAGACCAAGTGCCTTTGCTTTTTCGGGAATGAACTTTCCCTTATAATCCGGTCCCTTGCAAATATAAACAACGGAGGTTTCCGAAGGTTTAGATTTGGGCAATCTTTTAGGAAATAACACTCTACGTCTTCGATTTATATCATTTTCGTTACCACCCTTAGGCGATAAAATCAAGTTACTAATAGTATTATCCGTAGCATGCTCATTTAATCCTTCGTCCGGAATATCTAATGCTGAATCATCTTCACAAGTTTTCGATTTTTTTGGCGTTGATTCCTTCGAACGAGTCGATCTCTGACTCTGATTAAACATCAACGATAATATCTCTTTTTTATGTTTTAATGCAGGATCGTATTCATCATCCTCTCTGGGACGTTTTGATGGAAGATTCAGCTTTTGAGGAGATAAAGGAGAAGACATTGAATCTTCGGGGTTAAGTAAAATTGTTTGAATCAACAAGTTCCCATCTTTAAACTCCATTCCATCTTCTTGGAATTCGTGAGTATCAACTGACATGCTAGATCTAATAATTAATAACGATTAATTCAATGAACCGGGAAATCATATGCATAATATGCATTGGAAGGAAAATTCACATGCCTTAATATGAAGCCTCTGGTTGCTGTCAAGGCATGTGTCAAGTTCGTACCACCAAATAATTTTATTTCCTGTGAACCGGCATCGGCCATCGTGAGCAGCATTCCTAACCGGATGAAAGAAAAATTCATTCAGAGATCAAATCAAACAAATTTTTCAAGTATGCGCAGAATACCTGGAAGTCCGCCAAAGCATTCCCAGTGAATCCTGGTCAAAAAAATTTTTTTCACCTTCGAAATCTTTATCTTATTCTGTAGACAGAATCTTTGCGTTCCCTCGCCACAATTGAACAAATATCTTTGATCGTCGAAATGTACCAATACCGACGGCGCTACGTCGACGGTTCCGGTCCCCAAAATTTGTATATATGACTTCATTGTTGTAGGCGCAGTTGTGGAAAATTTATGATGATTTGAAAAATTTTTCAAGTGCGAAGAGAGTTCTTTGAAACGTGAAAAATCGCGAGGTCCTGACTTAATAAAAAGTCGACCTAGCGGTAATATTTTCAGGAAAGACAACTTGATGATTTTTAAATTGTGATAGGGGAAGCACGATTTCGGTTTAATTGGGCAGACAATGATAATCGATTTATCCAATCGATCGATCCGCAGTTAATAAATAAATAAATACAGTACTGCAATGTGCTATCGAAAAATACATTAAAATTGGTCTAATTTTGTCAACTACAGTAAAACTAATCGTTTATGCAAAACAACAGGCCAATAAATACTCTAAATTTTTTTGTATGCCTTAAAATGTTTTTTAACGAAAACTAGATGATTGTCCATAAATGAATGAGGAAACTCGGAAACTCTTATTAAAATGTCTGTAAGTATTGCTATGTACATAAAGGATGACGAGTTCTTTGGTGAATAAATAAATGAATGACATGATTAGGGATTTTTTTTACAAATGCATAAATATAGATAAAACCACCCAACTCTCAGAACACTGTGACACTTTCACGCTCACTAATAAACTTTGGTTGACTTTCAATTTCATTGTTCGGGTTTCCAGCGTAAGCCTCAACGATCTCACTTTCCAAGGTGATGACGTAAGACATCGCGATGCAAATCAGACAAATTATTGTTGGAACCACGATCTGATTAGCAACATCCACCACGATCTGATTAGCAACACCCCGTAGATTGAAAAAGCTATCAAACAAAGTTATGAAGGTTAAGGACAGAGCAATGAACACCCGAATCAAAAACCAGAATTGAATTCCGCCGAATTTCCTAAGAATTATTCGTGAGTCGGATGAGAGACCGTAACTTAGGGCATTTCTGGTGTGAATCTTTTTGGCTCGCTTGAGGATGTAGATGAATCGGAAGGCGACATATAGTTCAATTATGAAGTCGGTGATCAAGAAACCTGTCATTAAAAAAATTGGTAAAGACGTGCCGCTATTTATTTCCGGATTACATGACATGCTTATGCTTGTGACTTTAGGACGCAGAAAGATCACGTGAAGGGTCTACGTATTTGGGAGACGCATGAGTAAGCATCGCTAAATCCAACAATCAATAAATAAAAACAGGACGTAGATGTGGATAACCTACTTGAAAGGAAACCCTTATCACCAGCAGCGTTAGACTGATCCACTTATCCACCTTTCGTTCCGACAACTTTCTCAAATTACATAACAAGAAACATGCTAGTGATGTTCTGTATATTAAGTTGAATATGTCGTGTATGTATGCCAAGACCCCACAGTTCGTCAGAATCACAGATTGTAAGGCGATGTAAAAGAAATCAAAAATAAATCGAACTCCACCAGTGAAGTTGAATATGATTTTGAGGAAACGCAGCTGGGTGTTTGGTATGTATGTGATAGCGGAGAGAACGGTGTTGTGAAAGAAGACCTATGGGGAGAAAAAATCAGTATGAGAAAGAAAGAATGCAGTTTTTCTGACGGTAAACATCTAAATAAATGCACACGGAAAACCTACCATCACGCCGAGCCCACTTAAAAAGGTCTGGTAAGCTAATATATTAAATCCAGAAGGCATTTTGCTCAAAAGAAAAAAAAAAGGGGGGATAAAAATCTTTTATAAGTTTATCATATATATATGTGCGCGCATGTTGAGATCCATTGATGGAACGTTAGGAATTATCAAACAAAGATGTTTCAAAATGGTCGAGAAGTATTGTCGGATAATACCAAAGTCCGTGCGATGGCATGACGGCGGCATTCAATTCTGCAACAAAAAAAACGTGTGACAAACAAACAATAATGTGGCGATTTTCTTCATTTGCGGAGTTTTTTGGGCAATTAAAAATATATTTATTATAAAGTTGGGGTGTTTCGAATTTATTGTCTTAGGAATAAAAATAAACTCACAACCTATTATAGTACGTATTATGCATCACAATACATACTTTTGATACGCAGCATGATAAAGAAGTTTTTTTTGTATCTAGCGCATATTCGCAGTTCCTACGGGCATTTTTGCCGAAATATTTTTTTTTCAAATAATTTTCGACCGACATACTGTATCCGGATTGAAAAGCATTTTAATTACCAAAGCTTACAATATTTTTACTTTAGGTGAAACATAAGCTTTGAAGGCGGAAAATTCTGGAATACACCGTATCAATAGTATTCGTTTCACCAGGAGTAAAAAAAGAAAAAACTTTATTTTTAGAAACATTCGCGTTATGTAATAGTAATCTTATTTTCTTATGCACTTATTTTATTAACACAAGGTGTTTTTTTTTTCTCACTTTCATAAATGTAATTCCTGGAAAAACAAAAAGTTGCGAAACTTAAAAACAAAAATCCTAGTTACACTGGACCCTTGTGAACAACCTTCCTTGTATTCTTATGATTCTCGATAACAAAGCACTGTTGTTGTTATTCATTCATTATAGTATACAGTAAAACTTTGATGATCATGTACATTCAATCCTATTTCGCACATTTCATGTGTACGAACATAAATGCTACAAGCTATCATTGTGCTGCGGACAACTTTCTTATTCCGAAATACATGCATTTATTTTTGTCTCTCATTTCTATTGATGGAAAGACATAATTGCGAAGGAGAACGAAGATGAGTCAACATGTCAACAATATTAAGGACTTGTGGCTCCATTTTTTTAATATTCTCTTGGGATTCCCTCCGCATGTCTTGTTTATTACATTATTATTACATTATTCTTTTTTACCTAAACATTCAGGGGTTTTACTTGTATTCAAAATTTTGTTAATTTGCTTCATATAGTTTTTATAAAGATTGTGTTCGATCCGATCAACTTCTATCCCTACAAAGTAAAACCCGCAAATAAACGTGATTGACCACAGAAGACCATAGTAAGTGATAATTAATTATGGACATACCTTTATCCAATTTCTCGTGGTAAATCCTCGTTTTACTTGATTCCAGATTTTCGGATACTACCACGGCGTGCTGTAGCACTCCCCACTGTACAAGCAGTGTTTTCCCCTCATTCTCAATGCTCATGCCGCTACTCCGAGGATTCGAGCAAACGAATAATTTTAACTTTTCAAATTTTACCTTGGTCACCTTGAACCCCATGATCTTCTTCGCCTCATAATCCACGTCGGGGTGTATCCAGCAGTTAATCAACTTCAACTTTTCCAGATTTGTGAACGACGACAATAATTCCCATGGATCATTTTCATCAAATTCTACAAATTTAAAAGTTATGCTTTGTAAGGCGACCGACGGGGTGGGTAATGAGAGAATCGGAAGAATGCTTTGAGTGCGACCATCAAGTATTTTTATTTTTTTGAGATGTCGAGATGAGGCGAGAATCTTTGAAAGGTGGGTGCTCATCTTTATCGTTAGGGATGTTAATGTCGACTTTTTACGCCAAAGTTATTACAATTTAATAATTGTGTCATAATTATCTCGTTAGTAACTTGATCAACAAAATTCGGGACTTACGAAATCATTCCAACTCTCCACCATTTCTGCAACTTTTCCCTCCTTCATATATCCGATGTCCAAATCTTGTAAACTCCCAAAGAGCACTTTGTACTCCTTGCTGAACAAGCTATTCGACCAAAACATTAGCATGACGTTGAGATCATTCAGTTGGCCGATTGTCACTCTCCTGAACCTGACACCATGATTCACATACAATCCTAGCAGTCTTCTAACCAACAGATCTATGAATTCTTGTTTATCTGAGAACGTGAAATCTTGCGTTTTCTTGGGTGAATCGTATAATGAGTTAAACCAGCTCAATGAAGATTGGTATAATCCGTGAATCGAAAGCGATCTCATAAATTTCGGATACGCAAACGTCGAGTGATTGGATACCGTCAGAAATTTCGGGGCATTGTGATGAAATTTATTTTGTATATCTTTGTGAAACTGCTCAAGTTCCATTCTCGAAAGACACCGTAACAAGGTTTCGATTATTTTTCCGGATTTCGTCCAATTGGCGACATCCTCTTCTTGATGCTGTTCAGGATCATATTTGCTAAGTTTTGGGGGTAGTATGAATGGGTTTTCCCAGAGGATTGGAATTGCTGCTTCGCACCATTTTTTGTTTACCAGAGAACATGAGCGTAACGACCTGTAATCAGTGGTGTGACTACCATCAAGAAGAACTTGTGCAAATATCATCATCAATACGTCAAAGTCTAAAGCTGGCGGCATCCTTGAAATTGAATTTGTAAGTTTGGGAAAAGATGTTAATTAAACACGTTCGCTTTTTGCATATGTATTTATAGGAAATTGGGTGTAGTGTAACATAACAGCACGGAAAATTTTAAATGTCGTGCATTCGCAAATCACATCAGAGTCACAATGTCCTACTCGATGCCGTTTTTACTCAGTTCATGTGATTCATACCTTTTTTCAAAGATTCGCATGTGTTGCACCTTGAGAGAGACCGTGAGAGTGCTAAAGATTCAATCTGTCTCAACAAGTATTGTTTGACACGTGTCGTTCAACACCCACATGACTTGATTTTGGATTTGTACTACTCCTTGGTGGCATGATTATGACTATCGCGAATAATTGTTCTATCCTTATGATGCATTCCGTATTTGCCACAATCGGTGATCGTTGCTGAAATTAATTGACTAATGCAGGCATGAATTATTTACAAGACTCTCTCCCATTCCCTTTACGTATTTTATTTCAATCTGTGCATGCTGTACGATGGTATCGTATGCGTAACTTGTTAAAAATAACGGTCTTAATTAAAAAATCGGTTTATTTCGGCCGTACAAACCTCTCATTACCAATGATGTCAAATAAGGAATGTATTTTTGGATGTCTCACGGTACCACCCGCCTTACCAATTTTACCTACATTTCTCGGTACCCGACACCATGGAACCATACGTAAACAATAGCAATATAAAAAACAAATTCGTGGTCTCAAATATGCATTATATGAAAAAAGTTTTTTAAACAAAAATTTCCAACTCGGCAAATAATTAATAAAATCAAAAATCAAATATTAATATAAAATAATCTGTACATACAGTATATTTTTAAACAAAATATTCTTAAAGTAAAAAAAATTGTATTTAAAGCTATATGTGTTTGAATATTAATTAAAAGTATAGTTAGTGAAGATTTTTGAAAAAAGACTGATTCTAAATGTAAAAAAGATATTGCATTTGTTATTGCAATATTTTTTTAATTTATTAAACTAAAAAAACAATATATAATATATAATCAAATAATTAAATAATTTGAAAATTAGTAAACTTATACAAATCATATATAACTTGATAAAATAAATAATTTTTATACTATTTTATTGATTATCAATATTATTATCAATATTATAAAACTTTTTAAAATAATAATAATAATAATAAATAGATTTCATAAATTTTAATTATGATTTAAATTTGATAAAATAAATAATAAAAATTTTAAAAGTTTTATCTTAAAATAATATTTTAAAAAAATTTAAAACGCTAATTTTTAATTATAAACATATATAGTCTGTTACAAAAGTCTTTGAACTCTTATTTTAACTTACAATTTAATAATCAATTTAATAATCAATTAATAATATAACATAATATTTATTTATATGTTATTTAAAGATTTAAAAATTAAAATTAATTAAAAAATATATTATTATATAGAATAATATTACTAAAATTATATGAAATTAAAAAATTTTAAAAAAATAATTATTTTTATATTTTGTTAAAAAAAGAATATTAAACAATAATTAAAAAATTAATATATAATTTTTTTTGTAATTTTTTTATTAGTAAAAGAATTTTTTAATTTAAATAATTTATAATTAATAAATTTTTATAAATAAATTCATTGTTAAAAATTATAATATCATTTTATAATTTTTTATATATAAATTAAACTATTCTTTTAATCTTTTATAATTAATATTTTTTACAATAAAATTTTATTGAATAATAAAATTTGTATTTAATTTATTGAAATTTTTAAAATAAACTTATTAATTAATTATTAATATAAATATATATATTTATATTTTATTATATAAAAAAATTTTTTATTGATTATTATTCAATGAATTTATTTAATGAATTTATTTATTATAATAATTTAATGATTTATAATTATTTTTTTTATTGTTAATAAAAACAATCTATTATTATTAATAAATTTTTTTATTTTTAAATGATTTTATTTTTAATAATTATAATCTTTAAATATATCAATAAAAAATATATAAATATTGTTTTTTTTTATTAATTATTTATAAAATAATAAATCAAAATAAAATTTTAAAAAAAATTAAAAACTTTTTTTTTTTTTTTTTTTTTTTTTTTGTAGGTAAACATCATTTCTTTATTTGATTTGTATATATCAAGGTATACATCGTGAA